TCAATGGCGATTCATGCCCTCTCCAAAAACGGGGGTTGGAGATGCCCCTTCGCTCACCGCCTCTTCAATGACCGCCCTTACAAGAAAGTTTCCCCAACTAAATTCTACAACAGAATTCTAGACATTTCCTGAATGTATGGCCATTTTTATTTTTTAATTTAAGCCTTATAATTAATCTAATATTTTTCTAGATTTTTATACCCGAGCGCCCTGCACCTATCCGGCTACGACCATGCTTACATCTTTTCACTATCACACTTAACTTTGCTTGCTAAGTAGTGTTTTCCACAATATGAATGGCAAAGTACAGGGCGGAAAACTAATAACTGTCGCACAGGTTTTGTGAAAAATAAAAGGAAAATAGAGAGATAAGTATGTACATGCGGCACGCCGTCTTTTTCTGGTGTATTTTTTCTTAGACTTTGTATAAAAAAGAAACTGTATAGGGTTGGTCGAATGAATGCCCTCCTCAGTTACCCGTTCCGAGTCTTTTAGATTGCTGAGTATGATGCCTTATGTTGGACAAAAGCCGGAGTATAATGCACTCAAATTGGGCAAATTAGCCTATGGCGCTTTTCTCCCAAACCCGTTGGTAAACCCAAATGAAGGTAAAAATTTAAAAACTAATTAATAAACTTTAACTAAAATGTAGAAAATTAAAAATAAACTACTTTTTTTACTTGCGCTTTTCTCTCAAAGTATTTAGCGCCGGTAAACCCAAATGAAGGTTAAAATTTAAAAACGAATTAGTAAAGTTTAAGTAAAATCTGTGGATCATTAACAATAAACTCCTATTTTCGCAAAATCTATAAAAATTCCTTTTATTTTTCATAAAAAAAAACTGTGCAACAGTTATTAAATATTTTACTCCCTGTATAAAATATAAATAGGTGGAAAAAGGAGTACAAAACTAATAAAGGAGTACATTTGCAGTTATTTTTTTTGGGAGTACAAGGTAGTAAATTGCAATAAAAAGGAGTACGTTTACTCCCAAAAGCATTACGTCTGGCAACCCTAAGTGTAAACGGATCGATTACCGTATAAGGAAAATTCTCTGTCAAATCAATATAGTACTAGAAGTGAATCAGCCGGAATCTATTGTGATTTTCAAGCATATTTCTGCTAGATATGACCGTCTTTAAAGTCAGTGCAGCTCTTTCACTATGCATAGTCTAAACTGCAATAAAATAAGGGTGAATAAAATCCGCTTATCTTTTCTAAAGCTTAAAATATCATTATTATAATTACGAATTTTAGAATTATTTTCGGTGACTGGCATACATTTTTTGTATCTACATATGTAAATATATGGGCATATAAAGCAAATATTCATATGTCATTCCACCATTAACCGCAATCGCATTTTGACAAGTTGAAATCACACAACTAATCACCCTCCCATTCTCTTTTTCTTTCCTGTATAAATTTTATCCCCGTTCTCCTTATTCCATCAATCAATAATTAAAAATAGTGTTTGCGGTTCAGTGAGTATTCGAAGCCACAAAGTCAATTTATAAGCGATTAAAACCGCTCATCGCGCTAAGCGTATGCGTAATTATATATACATATCTACACGCATACGCTCATATAAAGGGTTTGTTTAGTATGCAAATAGGTTTAAATCCATTAACCGTGAAACCATAAGATTATGTTCGTTTATTTCAAAGAGCCACAGTAAGAAGCCATGTAAAATGAGATTTAAATGGGAAGCTTGACTAAGGATAAAGCTGATGGAAGGTTGCTTAGCTACATTTAATTTGGCGGTATTTCGCATGATTTGTATCAACAATGCGCTAAAATGAATGTTTGTAAGTACTGAATGTATCGAAAATCGAAGTTGTGGCATTTTTATATGCAAAGCAATGTTTGGACCAAAAACGAAATCTATACGGTAATCTAAACTCTAGAACCTACAAAAAATGAGTTCCATGATAAAGAAAGTGGTTGGGGATTTATTTAAGCTGGCAAAATAGGCCGCCGACAATAAAGAGTATTGGAGACAGTGCAAATATGTACACATATAAGAAAGAAATTATTATAGCTAAAAGTGGATCCTTACAGAATTTCTGTGGAAGCATTTATAAAGCTGCTAAATATTTTACGATACCATTACTGTTAACTACGGGACAATAATGAACAAATGAGAACAAGAAAAAGCTTAAAGTTCTGATACTTAGACACCCACCAGCTGCTTTGAATCGGAGAAAGTCAGATTATATTTATTGAAGACCTTATTAGATCAACTTGTCATGAGTGATTTTTAGATTGTTCCAGACGACATATTCTCTGCTTTTCTGTAAAAGAAAGATGCCGTGTTGATTCCGTTTCTTGCCGACATTGTTAGGTACTACATATGTATCTACGGTTTATCTACCTACCGAAATCTGTCGGTCGAAAAATAGGAATAGATTTAATCTATTCTCTATCTAAATAATTATCTACATAAGAATACATGTTAAAATAATTTGACAGCTGTGGCACATGGCCCGTCATTTTCAGTGTGTTTCAAGCATGTATATAAGTACTTATATGATACGCGAAGGTAATTTTTTCTCCAGATCACCAGATCTGCACTGTTCTTTCGATTTTCAAAAATGAGGCTACAAATAAAGGGCTTGGCGGGAAGATGTCCAATAATTTTTTACTTTTTCGAAACGATTTAACCCTAGAACCCGGGTACAAATGTATCCCCTTTCAACTTTGAAGTGTTGTAACTTTTGAACCGCTATACCTCTATACCGCTTCGGATCTAGGAAGATTATTTAGTTTTGAGTTCAAATTCAAAATTTGAACGAGATCGGACCATTGGTTCAGGAGCTACAGCCTTCCAAACACATTATATACGTAAACACACACCCGGGATACGTTTGTACCCCAATAGTAAAAATCCTCATAATAATAAAAAAAAAACATTTTTTATATTATTTTTCACACATTATATTATTGACTTTTATTATAAAAATTATAAAAATGCATCTTATATCTAAGGAAAATCATGGCAAATAGAGCAATTTGTTGATGTGACCGAATGTTCAAGACACATTGGCTTCTTACATTTGTCGCACAGCTTTCTGGTTTTTCTACGGCGTTTTTCCTCTTGTGCGTAACATAAATAGCAAGATCCGGACACAGGTTTTGGCGTGCGCGCTGCGGCAGATGTTGATGCTGCTGTTGACACCATTGATTCCACCGGTCGGTTGAAATATGCTTCAATAGCAATTTTAGTCGAAAAATTTCGCGTCACTTGACGATTTATGGCTCTGGCTTCAATAATGGGCATACACAATGCTTCAGCCAAGCTGCGCAGGATCTGCTTACGCTTGTTGTTTGTTCTCCAAGGCAACATAGGGTTATTCAAATCGTAGACAATGTAGGCTGCAAGAGCTGTAATGTCCAACATGTTGAAGAACATCGCTAGTGGCCATCGTTTTGTTTGTCTTTGTGTTGGATATTCCGCAAACATTTGGTCCATTCGATCAACACCACCTTTGGTACGATTATAATATTCAATTATTTCAGGTTTCCCACTGTCAGCTATTTCAGCATCATTATGCATGGTCGAAAGCAAAATTACTGCTTTATTTTTTTTGGGAACATAAGAGCACATTGTCACATTATTTTTGAAGCCAAATGTCGTTGAACCAATTGTCCTGTTTTTGGTGTCAAATTTAAGGGCTTGGCCAGTAGACATCCGATAAAGTTTTACTTCTTCGAAAAGAGTTGCCACCTTTTAAAAAAATTAAATTCAAATAATTTATAAGGGTAAATAAATTACTAAAATTTGAGTATCAATCGAAACGTTTTTAAAGGGATGTATTTCATAACTACATAAAGAGGGTTGCCACCTATTTAAAAATTTAGTAGCTTGAAAATATTTTGAAGACATTTGTATGAATTATGAAAATATTGGTCTTAAACGAAACAGTTTTTAGAAATATTTTTATTGAGCATTTAAATAGAATGCGGTGTTTAAAAAGGGTCGCCAGCGGTTTAAAAATTTTAATACAAATCTTTTAATAAATTACTATGACGATGGGTATCAATTGAGATGGGTTTGAAAAGGCTTTATTTTTAACCCCGGGTGAATTTAATTCAATTATACACAAGTTTAATGAAATATTAAAAGAATATTAGCCAAGTTTTGGTTTGAAAATTTAGAATATTTTTGAGGACTTTAAAACGGGTTGCCACCGGTTTAAAAGGTAAATTTGAAATTATTTAATAAGCTAAATTAATTACTAAAAGATGTTTATCAAACTTAATGGGTTTGAAAAGCTATATTTAGGACCGTTCCCACGCGTTTAAAATCCAAATTCAACTTAACTTATAAGTTGATTGAAATATGTATCACAATGTCAAACAAAGGTAGATTTTAACTTAAGAGTAATTTTTAAGAGAGTTTACACCTGTTTGAAAGGTCGACTTTAGTTAAATTATACACAAGTAATATGAAATATCAAAACAAGGGACCGCGAACAGAAGGTATGATCGAAACCAAATGTCCTACTCGTAGTTTTGTTGCCATGAACACTTGAAAACCAAAATAAAAACAAAATTGTCAAGAACGTTATCAATGGGAATAATGTAAGAACCAAAAGCAAATAACGTTTTCAAAGCGAAAAAAAATGCGAACAATACTTTCGGGAGTATTTCTAAGAGAACAAAATGTGAACAAAAGAAAGGTCTCCGAAACGTATTGGAAAAGAACTAAAAGGGGAAGAAAAGTCTAAGGAACTTTTTATCGAAGAACAATTTGGGAACTCAGTAACTTTCGGACAGATAACGAAACAGGAACAAATTTTCTCTGAACTATTAGCGAAGAATGGAAGCAGGAACAATATTTTTTACATAGCGTACGTTAGTTTGAAACGTTTGAATATTGAAGTTAATTAAAAAAAAAAATAAAATGTAACTATGCGGTTCTCTCTAAAGCGATTTTTGATCCCCTCCCATTGTAAACGTTAAGTTCTCAAAACTTTTGTTCTCGTTTTGTTCTCTAGCAGAACGTTTCTCAGACTTTTGTTCTTATTTGATCCTCCTTGAAAACGTTCTCGCTACTTTCGTTCTCATCTTGTTCTCATTGGAAACGTTTCCTATGCATTCTGCTCTGTTTTGTTAGCATTTTGTTCTTTACGGAAACGTTCCCAAACCTTTTGTTCTCATCTTGTTCCCGTTCAAACTACTCTCTATGCTTTTGTTACCATTTTATTCTATTGTAGGAATATTCTTGATACCACATTTTGTTCTCATGCAGAACTAAACTAAAACTGTTCAAAATATGAGAACCAAATGAAAGAGTCTCAAGGAAGCTACAGTTTGAAACTATTTTTATACCCGAGCGCACTTGTGCGCAAGGGTATTATAACTTTGTTCACATAATGGTTGTTTGTAACAGGCAAAA